ATTCTAATAATTAACCTATGTTACTATTCAATTTTTTATATCATTTCATTTGTATTAATTGACATATTATATTATTAGTGATTTGTTTTAAATATACTCTGAAATTTTAAAATTGTCTATTTTTGTAAAATGTCATTTTTGGTCATTTTAAAATTTTCAACTAGCATATAAGTTGATATTGGTAATTAAAATGGGGTAGAATGGGAATATCATTATTTTCATTCCATTCTATTGTATTATCAGAGATTTCTTAAAGTTAACTAATAATAAAAAACAAAAAAGAAACTTGATAGCCACCAAATCTATAGCATCATATCATCTTTCCAATGCACGTCTTGGTACACGAGGAGTGAGAGGCAGAATAAAAGAAAAAAGTTTCGATTCCCCCCAAATTGATGAGGAATGATTATTAACCAAATCTATTATGATAATTGGATCCATTTTTTGAAACAAAACATCATTTTTCATTCCTTAATTGAACCAAACTTAATCAATGATTATCATTTCCATTCATTACCTTCTAAATTGTAATATCCCAAACTAAACACACCCTTAGTTTTTGTCAAACGTGATTAGTTCATTAGCTAGCTTTTTAGCTATCAACTAGCTTATCACTTATCAACTAGTTTGTTAACTCTAGTTGAAGTAGCATTTTAATAAGCTAATTTATCAGCTACTATTTAACCATCCAAATAAAACTTTTATGATAAACTTAAAAATAAATTAATTTATTCTAACCAAGCATGATCCTAGTGGCATGTGGGCTGCGGCCGAGCTTAAACAAGAAATGGTCAAAAAAAACATGACATAAACGTAATGTTCACCATAATCTTCATCCCTAAAAAAATAACTGTTTTTTTCTCCTTTTAATTTTACTCCTAACCAACCATTTAACTTATCAAAATATGATAGACTTTCTCCATTATTATCAAATTACCATCCACTGTGCTAATCCGACCCTTGATTGGACAAGGTTGATGGTCATAATTGATTTTTATTTTGAAGAAGAGTCTATTTGAATATTACTTAGCTACAGTATATTATATATGATGCTAAGGGCATTTCCAATGACTACAATGCACCATTTTGGTGTAAAAAGTGGTACAAACAATGAATTGTCTATAATGTATTAAAGCATCTTTAACAATTTCTTTAAAACAGAAAAAAGTGAATTTTTATTCTTTAAAATGTTTCAACAGTTTTGTTATCTTGTTCTCTAAAACATAAAACTCTACAATTTAGAGTTTTCTTTATGGTTCTCTATTTTAGAGAACAAGATAGCAAAACTATTGAAACATTTTAAAGAACAAAAATTTCACTTTTTCCTGTTCTAAAGAAGTTTGAGATGCTCTAATACATTATAGATGGTTCACTCTTTTGTACCACTTTTTACACCAAAATGGTGCAAATTGTAGTCATTGGAAATGCCCTTGGCATCATATATAATATATTGTAGTTAAGTAAGATTCAAACAAACTTTTCCTCAAAATAAAAATCAGTTATGACCATCGACCTCGTCCAATCAAGGGTTGGATTAACTCGGTGGTAATTTGGTAATAATGGAGAAAGTCTATCATATTTTGATAAGTCAAATGGTTGATTAGGAGTAATTCATTTTAGAGTCAATTACATTTTTCGTCCCTGATGTTTGCTAGTTTTATTGCCTCCTTTTTCAACCCCAAATTGAATTACCAAATACACACACAAACTAAGCACATAGAACACTGAAAGAAACAGACTTAGGGGTTGTTTGACAGTTACTGAATGGTTTGGTGTAGAATGATTAAGAGACTCTTATAATACAATGCAAAATGAAATATAATTGGTCGGTAATTATTTAGAATGAAATTAGAGTGCTGAATGGTTAAGGGAGGCCCGAGATACAAAATCATTTAGAGGGTTTTAGAACCATTAAGAGGCATATTTTTTTTTTTGCCAAACAAGATTCACCTTTTAGCGATTCAGATCTTGCCTCTTAATGAAACTATTAAGAGGTAAACAAACAAGCCCTTAGAAATTCGAGATAAAGCGAGATAAGAAAGGCGGAGTGAAGAGACGAGCACGATGATGGTGGAGGGTTATCTTGAGGTGATAGTGTCAAATGAGAGAGGGTAGTGGGTTGATGACTTGATCAATGGGTTTTATTCATGTCTTGCTGGGGAAGACGAACGGGTTTCATTAGTGATGGAAAAAAAATTAATATAGTTGAAAAATGTTAAAAAGTGTTATTTATTTAACTGGAGTTATCAAAAAAATATAAGGACATTAGTAGGAGGAATGGAATCTAAACGAAAATATAACTTTTGAGGGACAAAGTTGTAATAAATAAAGTTGAGGAACAAAATACTTAAAAACTAGCAAACGATGTAATTGAAAATTGTCAAATGAATATTTCTGAGTTTACTTGGTATTAAATTTTAAAAAGATAAAAATTGTATATTTGTAATCAGTTATCCGATCAAAACGTAGAATAAGTTAAAAATGGGATGGGTGCTTGAGGGGTATTTTTTTTTTTCATGCAATTTTTTCAAGTAATTAATTGTAGTGAATATATTAAAATATTAGTTTCTCTTATATAATATATTAATTTACAAATATGACATTTGTTGATAAGTATTTGATTGTAAGAAAAAAGTGATAATATAGTAATTTCTTGAAAATTTAAACTTTATATTCTACATTAAAAACTTGTGTAAGTTTTAGATAAGAGAAGTATCAGATTTGCAAATGTTAAATTAAGTTTTGGGCTACAATTGCTTATTTGAAAATTTTGTATTTGTTGAATTTGCACGACTCAAAATTGGAATGATAATAATAAGGTAATAAAAGTCAAATGAGTAATATGGAATATCTATGAATCAAAAAACAATTCATATGAAAAGTAACTTCTATTGATGAACCATTTGATCATTAATTAATTCATAATACTTAAATCCATTATAATTTATCACCCATCTTGTGAACCTAACGAGTCAAGTCAGCCAACTTTTAACCAAATGGATTGCTTTTGTCTCTAGGTATTTATGTCAATGAAGTTCAAACAAGAACCATGGCCTGTGCTGATTGTAGCATATCATCTTAAGACACTACTTGCCTTTAACTATTGTGTTCTCACAAATGGATTTTCCTCGCTTAAATAGATTGCGGGTGGTCCCTCTGTTTGAAACTGTGAAGGATCTGAGAGGAGCTGGTTCAGTGATACGGAAATTATTATCAATTGATTGGTATAGAGAGCACGTCATAAAGAATCACAGTGGACACCAAGAGGTATGTCATTACGACGTTGTCTTCCGAACTAGCATGACTTCACATTCTATAACTATACATGCAGGTAATGGTTGGATACTCGGACTCGGGTAAAGATGCTGGGCGCTTTGCTGCAGCATGGGAGCTTTACAAAGCTCAAGAGGATGTTGTAGCTGCATGCAAAGAGTATGGTATCAAGGTTACTCTGTTCCACGGCCGTGGAGGAAGTATTGGCCGTGGTGGTGGGCCTACACATCTTGCTATTCAATCCCAGCCACCTGGTTCTGTCATGGTATGTTATTTACTTTTAAAATCTAACCATCTTCTACTACCAAAAGTCTACTTGGTGCCAGTGCACCTAAAAGTTGGGTCTCTTCCTCTTTTTTATTCTTTGGGTGCAAAAGTTGATTATGCATATGCAGCCTAAAAGGTTGTTAGCGTAATTTGGTTAAATGATTTTAAATGAGTTTTCAATCAGGAACATGGCCTTTTAATTTATTTTTTGAACCCTATAACTTTCATCTAACCTACCTCTTGTGTTAAATAGCCTTCCTCTTGTGTAAAATAGCATGCTCTCCTAAAAGCTTGAAAATATACAGAGGGTCAGATTTTTAAAGTCAGTCTCGTAGTTGGTTATAAATCAAGAGGGGCTTTCTAGAATTCATTAAATTGTGATAATCTTGAGAACTGGTGCATCATGTGCTACTTAATATGGTTTTTTCATCTAATCAGAATATCGATTAACATATATTGTTTCACAATGTGCTCGTTTCATATATATTTATTTCACAATGTGAACCTTTTTAGTCTGTTTATGAAATAAAAGTTGCACGTAAAAAGTTTCACGTTATGAACAGCATACATATGAAACAAATACATGGTGAAACAAATATATGTTCATCGATACATTAAATGCTACCCTAGATGAAAAAAATAATGTGAAACATAAATAATATTCTTATGGTTGTCATAATATATGGAATTCTCAAATGATTTAAGCACGGCTAAATTACCTTCATTAAACATATGCATACGTGTTACATCTGTGAATTATGCATCTAAAGCTCTCTAACAAGAAACAAGAAAATCTTGAATTATTGAAGTATGTTGTACAGTTACATATTGCCTTTTGATGGATGAAATTAGAATTTAGGTTGTTTTAGTTGAATACCTCATTTGAGATCTGTCCATTTGTGTCCCACATCACCAAACAGGGTGAGTGACATTTGATCCTTTGCTTGAATTTGCAGGGTACACTTCGGTCGACTGAGCAGGGAGAAATGGTTCAGGCCAAGTTTGGACTTCCAGGGATGGCTGTACGGCAATTAGAGATCTACACAACAGCAGTGCTTCTTGCCACCCTTTGTCCCCCAAAACCACCCAGAGATGAAAACTGGCGCAATCTCATGGAAGAGATCTCAAATCTCAGTTGCAAAAGTTATCGAAGCACCGTCTACGAAAACCCAGAATTCCTTACTTACTTCCAAGAAGCTACACCACAGGCCGAGCTTGGACACCTAAACATCGGTAGCCGTCCAACTAGAAGAAAATCTACAGTAGGAATCGGAGATCTTCGAGCCATCCCATGGATATTTGCATGGACACAAACACGATTCGTTCTTCCTGCTTGGCTCGGAGTTGGAGCCGGCTTAAAGGGTGTTTGTGAAAAGGGGGGTGCCGAAGAGTTAAAAGCAGCTTACGAAGAATGGCCTTTTTTTCAATCTACACTGGACCTCATAGAAATGGTTTTGGGAAAAGCAGACATTCCAATAGTCAAACACTACGATGAAGTGCTCGTGAATGAATGTAGGAGGGGTCTTGGTGATGAGCTCAGGAAGGAGCTTTTGTCAACCGAGAAATATGTGCTGGTGGTAACTGGCCATGAGAAGCTGTCGGAGAATAACAAGAGTCTGAGGAAGTTGATCGAGAGTCGTCTTCCATATCTGAATCCTCTTAACATGTTGCAGGTCGAGATTTTGAAGAGGTTGAGAAGCGATACCGAGAATCATAAACTTAGAGATGCATTGCTTATTACTATAAATGGTATCGCAACTGGGATGAGGAACACAGGTTAATTATCTTGACGTTAAGACGACTTTATGGATTTGAACTTGTTTTTGGTATTTGGCATAAACCATAAATTGTGCCAAGTTTTTATCACCTCTAATGTTATTTTGTGGTGCCTCACTGCTGCAAGCCATAATAAGGTTTGTATTGTAATTGGGATTTACTTACGTTAAATTAAACTCATGCATTTCACTTTTGATTGTTCGCATAATGTTTTCTGAAAGAATAAAATATGTCAAAGGAATTTGATCTTGAAGAAATTAGAATGAAATTTGACCTCATGTTTGGTTGGAATGAATTGTAATAAATTTGTTAAATGAATTGGAATATGCTTATTTGGTTGGTAGAATGTAGTTTTGAAATTGGAATGAATAAACATAAATGACCAAAATACCCTCTTTTATATCGGTGGTGGTCGGCGGAGGTTCAGATCGGTGGTGCCCATCAGTGGTTCAAATGGAGGTCATATAAGTCTGAATAAATCAAGTAGGGAAGATGGAGGATAATTTTATCTTTTTGAGAAAATAAGATGAGAGTAAAATTGAATTCCTTCTCAAGAATGACCAAATTCATTAATGATAAAATGTGTAGAATTCAATTCTATTCCATAGATAAATCAAACGCCTAAACAAATTTGGTCAACATAATTGATTATTTCAATTCCTTCAGATTCCGTTGAAATCCGAGGAACCAAACGCAGCTTCTATGTGGTGGGAGTTACTAGATGCCATTGGGAAATGGCTCTTTGGTAATTAAGGATTTTGAGAGCTAGTAATCGGCAATTTACTCCATTTTTGGGTTGCAGAGTGCTAGCATAATGCCCAACATGTTGGCCATCTCATGCACTATTTTCTTTTCCTTGCTATGACATGGACAGTTTGAAGGCGTTTAGAAAACCCAACTCAACCAATGCGGTTTGAAAAATTTCGTCCCGTTAAGTAAATATCAAAGCATAACTCAACTCAATCATCACGGGTTGGGTTATGATGTCTGAGATAAGAGGCGGTTCTTGGAGGTTATTTTTATGGTTGCAAGGTAGCATACAACGAAACAAAATGGTAACATCCTATAAGGAGTGCGAAAAGAATGGCACTACGTGTCTATGTCGGAAAAAATAGTGGTTGCATGCGCTCCCACTGACACCCTCTAAATTCGCCCCCAAGTCGAGATCTATTGTTGGAACACATCTTAGTGCAAAAATGAAATAAATCTCCACTTATATTGATGGCATACAACATTAAAGAAAAGCCAGGAAACACAAATAGTTGAACAGATTGCAAAGGCATATAACATATAAATGGGGTATCAGGCTCATTGGGTTAGGTTCAAAGGAGTTTGACCCCATTTCAACCCGGTACCTACGGTTTGAAGATAATTTGATCTGCCATTGGGTGGATTTGGGTTGGGTTGGGTTGGCCGGTTATTTGTGCCCCCCCAACCACAAGTGATGCATAACGGTAAGGAATCAGAATCAGACATGTTGCAAGCATCTTGTCAAACATTCCATCTATCTCTTCCCTTGCCATTGGACAAGTGCATACATCACAAGAATTTGTGCATCGCTTATAGTTTGCATGGCATCATATGCTCTGTTAACATCTTGTTTCTGGGCATCAAAATAATGTAGTATCAAGAGTCATGTCTTCAAGCTAAAAGGCATCTAATGCTAAGGCTTCCCGTGTTTATCACCGCACTTTCATTCCGTAAATTCAACTATAAATGCAGGAGCCCGTATTGTTAGTGATTCATTGAGGCCAACAGGTTAAAAAACTTCCTATCCCAATTTGAAGGAACCAATGGCATCAGTCAAGATCGAGAAACCTGTTAAAGAGGCCACGAAACCTTCGGCTCCCAAATCTTCTGCCGCCAAACCGTCCAAAGCAGCCCCTAAAAAGGCGACACAACCTCGTGAACCTAGGAAGAAGGTAACATTGATGCTCAACTATTCCATACAGCCGTTAATTAGCACGAAATATCGGGACTTTCTCATGATGATTTCAAGATTATGAGTCTGAATCCCGTTCTTTGGTGTTTTCCAATGAACGGGTGACGATAATTAGTACGGTTTTTGGGTTGTTTGTAAATATTATTAACTTGTGTTTTATGTATGTTTTGATGGTGGTGTTGTAGTCATCAGGTCCAAAGAATGCAGCCACCCCAAAGAAATAAGGACAAGGCGGAGTAGCAGTGAAAGACGTAGTGTGCTTGCTTTTGCTTGTAATCTCATCGTTTCTGTCTTCTGAATGAAATAAATACCTGTCTCCAAATTGCTTACAATCTTATTGAGAATTGAGTAAATTACAAATTTAGTCCCTGTGGTTCAAACTAAATAACTACAAGCATGGTTGGTCATCATGGTTTTAATTTTATTAAGTATTAGGTCCCTACCTCTAACTTTATTAACCTAACTTTGTTAAGGGGTCTTTTAGTTACTTTACATTTTCTTTTAAAATTATTAAATATATTACATAAATATTATATATAATAATAATAATATAAAACTACCCGCACAATGCAGCGAGATCAGTAAATTTTAACGATTTTGAAGCTTCAATGGTTTTGTTAAAGGAGATTTTAAAGATGATATAACTTACAATTTGTCTTTACATATTAATACAATTTGAATAAATAAGAGTTATGATTACAATTATAGTCTATCGATGGAAAAAAATTGTATGACAGTTTAAAATCCAATATATTTAAATCAGTCCAACCTAATATAAATATCTATTGAAGTATAAAAATATTAATTTAAATTATGCTTCTTGGCTTAGGAATATGGTTAAAATGTTTCAATGATTGTTCAAATATCCTTGAATAGTTGGATGAAAGCAAACCAATTTAATTAAACATTTTAGTTGGATAAAAAACTGATATACAATAAACAGTTGAATTAGATCAACTCCTTTTAAGGGAACGTTTATTAAACGTTTACATGGTAAACGCTTACTAGACCATTTACCTATTGAATGAACATGACAAGTACCGATAATCTAACTCGATAACTCAACCTATTACACTCATTTCATAACTCAATTTGGTATTAACATAAACTACTTACGTAAACAACTCCACAAATGTGTTTTTTGATGTTTAATCCAAATCGTTCAACACCAACAAGCAGTCAACAAGTCACCCCTCTCATCGAGCTTTCAAGAAGCTTTATTGGTTAAAACTTGAAATCTCTGAGAATCGGTATACATACCGTTTGAAATGGAAACTTCCACGTAAACAAACCCTTGGTTCTCATAACAGATGTCACCTACATATTTTAGGCGTAGGACCAAACATATTTTTCAGAAAATACGAATGTATTTTAAATCTGATATTCTCAATTTCTAGATAGAAAAAAAAACAGAGATTTAATAGGTAAACCTATTAAAGTTACCCATTTTACCTTGGATGCTTGAACTTCAAGATCATGAATATGATCTCACTTAAGACTAGTCTCAATATACACATGAATAAGAAATATGATTTCTCAAAAGCCAAATTGTGTGCATGCCTGTTACACATAGTTAAAAAGATGCAAAAATGGAACACATAATCTACATGGATAAACAACTATACATGCAGAAAAAGGAGACTATTATAATCAAAGATGTCTAAGAAACCCGAAAATTTGTAATTTACTCTTCTGAATTTCTACATCTCTCAAATTCAAATAAAGTTCTTCATTTGCTACAAAAAAGATAGATATATTTATTGGCTTAGTAATAAAACGAGGCCGGTTTAAAGAAGACTGCTAAATATTGTGAGAAGGTAAGAAGAGAAGGTTGATATGAGTGAATTATTGAAAAAATCCAAAAAAAGTTATTTTTTAAGCAAACGTAAATTCACGTTGCAGATTATGCATATGGGTCCACATATGCATCTTCAAATGGATTTTTTCAATGATCTAGACACAAACCTTCACATCTTACCTTCTCACCATATTTAGCATTTTTATTTGAACTTCCCACTACTAAAACATGTTGAATATAATTACAGGTAAGATTCCATCCTCCCCAGAAGTCAAGTCCAGGTTCAATCCTCACCAAATGTGGGGAGTGTGTGTGAGTATTTGCCGTATACTGTATATCTACTTCAAAAAAACGACTTCACAAGAGACTAACTAAAGTTGTGCATGGAAAAGAAATTAGAACACTGACCTCACCAGGTCACTCGTATGAGAATAGAAGTTAAGATGAGAAATGTAAGAAAGGGATTTAGACTCTTGATCACTTTTAAACTCAAACCAACGCATGAATTGGGCTTTAGAAGGGATTTGATCCGGTGTTTCTCATCAGTGTTGATCTAGTGGAACCCTTCAATTAGGATTGATCCAAAGATGGAGATCTCACCGAAACCTAACCCCCTCACTTTAAATCTTATCTAATTTTGGCAACAGCACAGAGATGATCATTTGCACTCGAACAATCCAATATTTTCATGCTCATTTCCGAGCGCATTAGTTGGACCTCTTGGAATCTTCCTTCTTCCGTAAGACCAGTAAGAAGATGATTTGCAGCACCTACACATGGCAAAAACCCATTTGCAATCATTTCCCTATACCAAATATATGCTTCACTAAACTTGTTGATGTTACAAAGTCCCTTGATCAGTATCTCATAAGTATCAGCTTTAGGAACTAATCCTTTCGCCTTCATCTTATAAACAAGATCCTTCGATTTCTGGAGATTTCCCTCTTTTAAGTACCCGATGATCAAGCAATTGTAGGTCATCCTATCGGGAAGAATTCCATTATCAACCATCTCATGGTACAATGCAAAGGTTTTCTCTACAAAACCATGCTCTGCATAGCAATGAATTATTTCATTATATAGCACGCGATCAAGAGTCAAGTTCATATGTGACATTTCTTTGATGAGTTTCTCTACAAGCATTAACCCCAGATTCTTGCATCCAACAATTAGTGGATGAAATGTATTGATAGTAGGTTCGATTCTGGATGCTTTCATTTTCTCGTATAACTCTAAACACATTTGGGCATCTCCCATGGTTGAATAGCCAGAGATTAAGCAGTTATATGTAATCACATCAGGTTCCAGACCTCCGTTTTTTATTTTTGAGGCCAGTTCTTCGGCTTCCTCAAGTCTACCCATTTTACAGAGCCCATTTATGAGTGTATTGTACGTAACCAGTGATGGTACTACATCATTTCTCAACATTTCATCAAAAATCTTGAAAGCATCTTGTATCTTTCCTCCGCTACAGTATCCATTGATAAGCATATTATATACATTTGTATTTGGCAAAACACCTCTACCAATCATATCTCTGAAAACCACTTCAGCTTCAGCAACCCTTCTGTCTTTGCATAAGTTGTTAATTAGGGAGCCATAACTTATGGCATTTGACTTTAAACCATTACTTTCCATTTGTTCAAGAACCTGAAAACACTTATCGAACTGGAAACTCCGGCCAAATCCATCAAGTAGTATGTTGTAGGTCGCCACATCTGGAGAAACACCCATCTCTGCCACCTTTTTCATCCATTCCTCTGCCTTAACAAAATTGCCAGATTGACAGTAATGGTTGATCACTGAATTGAAAGTGCTGCAGCTGGGATTCAACCCATAGAATTCCATTTTTTCCATTGTCAGAAGGGCCATTTCTGTGTTACCCTCCCTGCAATAACCATCAACAATGGTATTGAATATTACCTCTGTTGGAACGAGTCCATTCTCCATCAATTTCACCAAAATCTCCTCAGCCTTATCGGTTTTCCCTCCCTTACACAACCCATTCAATAGAATGCCACAAGTGTATCCATTTGTATGAATGCCATCCTTATATATCTGTTCATATAACGCCATACAAGAATCCAAATCACCGGACCTTAAAAACCCATCAAACATAAAACTGTAACTGAACCCATCAGGAACAAAGCCATGAACTTGCATATCTTTCCACACCCTTTTTGCCTCATCCATCCTCTTCCCTTTACAAAGCCCATTTAATAGTGTATTATAAGTAACAAGATTAGCATCTATATTACTAGCCTTCATCTTTTCACGAATCCTAAAAGCCTCATCTAAATTCCTTACTTTACAATATCCATCAATCATCGTGTTATATGTGATCTTATCAGGCATCACGCCCCTCTCAAGCATTTCATCAAACAGCTTTCGTGCATCCATCACTCTCTTCTCTTTGCATAACCCACCGATCAAAACATTATACACAAACTTACCAACATTCATCTTACCATTAATCCTCATGCAATCCATCAATCCCATACCCCGTCTCATGTCCCCCATCTTAACCGCTGATTGCACGGCCTTACCAAAGGTAAACTTATCGACCCTAATACCGGAACCAAGAACATGATCAAATAAATCCAACACTCTACGATACTGACCAGAAGAAACCAAACATTCCAGTAGTAAATTAAAGGAAACAAGAGAAGGGAAGACGCCATCTTTCCTTATTAACATGTACAAATCAACGGCTTCGTTCGGGAGGTTTGCTTCAGCACAAACCGATAAAATCAAGCTTGAAAAAACTTTACGGTTTTCCTTATACCGAGCATAAATATCAGAAGGCGTAGTGAAGATCGACTTGGAAGTTATGAGGGATTTAATTAAATTTTTGGCAGTTTGGGTTTGGCCTTGTTGAACTAGTATGTGGATCTTTCTAAGATGTTCTTCTGCATCATCAGATTCTACACCACCATTGTTGGAGTTTGAAGCGAGGAACATCGGGGTAGAAATTGAAGAGGGAGAAGAAAGTGTTCCTGTGAGTTTGGGAAGAATAGCGAACCTTCTCTTCGCCATTGCCATTCTTCCCAATAGATAGACTGAAATCGAGTATATATCACAAATTCCTCTTACCTGCATGTAGTATACACTCGACGCCCTCTTTTACATAGATTTCCATCTTTACACAGATTCTTCCAGCCCACTACTTGAATCATCTTACAATTTCTCAATAATTGCTTCCAATTAGCTTTTCTCTCTGCTTCCTATCTTTCGTTCTTTCTTTCAGAAAGATATCTGATAGTGATACGTTTGAAATGAAGGAGCTAAAAGGCTCTTTAAATAATGTTGGGCTTGGACCTTTTACTTGTGGGCTCAACTCATGTTCATTTATTAATTACCCAAATAAGCCCAGGTAAAATTATCCATTTTATTGAACTTCAATTATTTTTAAAATTAAAATTTTATGTTAATCAGAGTTTACGTAAATATTTTATTCTTTTATATAAAATCTATTTTTAGATTAAAAAAATTATTTACATAAATAAGAATCCTTATGCAAATTCTTTACGTAAATTTGAATCGTAAAGGGAGCATTTGGTTTAATGAAATGGTTCAAATAATTTGAATTTCGTGGAAGGATTTAAAATGTTTGGTTTTTATGATTTTGAATGGTATTCAATTCCATTCGTTATAAATAAGTTGTAAAAACAAATTATAAATAATCATAAAAATAATAACATTACCTTGTTATTAGTTGATTATTGGAAAACGGATGCTTTTAACATATTTTAAAACATTACTATACACAAATCATTCGAAATCCATTGAAATCCCAACCAATCTCATGGGATTCAAAATCTTGTGTTTGACGGATTTCAAAGATATCGTAGGATTTTGAATACGAGCAATCTTGTAAATCAAACACGGGATTAGAATGAATTTGAATTCCATATCCTCCCAAATCATTTCCATTCCTGCAAACCAAACGGAACCTAAGTAAATTTGCATAAATATTTTTCTATATGAATATCGAGTTACACAAATGCACAAGATATTGTGTAAACTTTGCCTAGAATGGAAATTAGATTAAGAAAATAACTAAGAAATGAATTTGGTTAGGAAGATTGGCTATTATGATCATTTCCCAAAATATAAGAGCTTTTGTGCATAATGTCACATTAATTATAGTTTTATGACTGATAAATATTATTTTAGATCATTATTATTATTATTTTTTTTTTGTCTTGAACAAATGCATGGTAGGTTGGAAAAGATAATTATCAATTATACTGTTAAATGCATATGTATTATTGCTAGCAAAATATGCTATTTGGAATAATGTTTTTTTGGAGCTTGGTGTGGTTTTTAACATTACTGGGTTGTTCAACATATACTGTGGTGATATTGAAACTACTGAAATAATAAATGTTAATTATGTCAGTGCTCACATCATACTTCAACTTTATCATGACAGTATTTTCGATTACTGTTGAATGGTATCATTGTAAATTTAATGATTCAAAAGTTTAACTATCGATGCCAAAGACACTGATTCATAAAAATAACTATTAAAAATGGAAAGTCACTGTTAAGAAAGATCATAAATGAATTATAGGCACGGAATACTATTTCCTTGTTGGGGAAGCGAAAAATTTGTAAACCATACCATGACAAGATAAATCAAAATTCAATGAAGTTGATTTTAGTTTTTTTAAATGTAATAAACAATTTTTTCCGAATAAATGTAGCAAAGTTTAACATTTTATATTTATTGTAAAAAAGCTTTTATTTATACCCATCTTTACATGTCACCTAACGATTTTGTAGTATTTTGTGACATAAAATGTCAAGTTTATCGTTCATTTCACCGTTCCAATGTGTAAACCACTCATAAATAGATGTCCATATCAATAAATGTTGCAATATCATCATATTAAATAAATACAAAATAAACTATAAATTCGATTCATCTGATTTGTCGAAAATAACACTTTTTGTCCATGCAATTTCGAAATTATATATTTAAAAAAAAATGAAAAACACTTTCTTCATTTTATCGGTTTCTTTAGCCAATAAAAACCTCATTGACCAAAACCATAAACTCGATTTTAATTGGATAAAAAGACAAAAAATGGATAAAATGAGAAAAATGCTCATCGTTTAACAAAAATTTTATCGTTAGAACACAAAAATGTTCAAATCAGTACGTTTTCGCAAACCATGATGATGATCTTGTAAATTTTAACCATGATAACCATCTTGTAAATTTAAAACCGTAGGGATGAAAAGTAACCACATGACCAAATTTGTAGTCTGAACTAAAATTGCAATTTTGTGAAAAAATAACCTAAACCGGTTGCTTATTTTAAATTTCCTTTGAACCAAATTTGCATATAGCCGCCCGGTGAAGACCGGCGGTATTTCGTGTGCTTCCCAAATTCAAACTAATCTCTCTCTAAATATTCCACGAATCAGTGTTGCGCTTTCGCCATCTGGTTGACGGCTACTTCATCGTCATTAGCAAAGGTACAATCTTCATCTTTGAAACCCTAGCTGAAGTTTACTCATCTCTCTTGATTCCTTGTCTTATTGATTTATGTCTTTATGCAAGTTCGGTTCATCCTACAATCTATATTTTCCGTTTTGTTGTGGTTTTGATTTGTCCTTAACATAGCTTTGATCACGATCGTTGATTCCGTTATACGTGTAACTGTGGGGGAACTCTTTTGCACCCTCAGCCCCCAAATTAGAGCCACACTTTGACTTCAGACTTCAAGCTGGTTACGTTCCAACTTCAAAATTAACATGGACTTTGAACTTTTTGAGAAGATTCATTTGGGGATAATTAGGTATATAACCTAAAATGAGGTTTTAATTAAATCCATGACCTTCTATGAGTATGACCATATGGCTATTTAGTATGCCACTAGGTTATGGATTTAATTAAAAACTCATTTTAAGGTCATATCCCAAAATGACCTGATTTGTTTACTTCATCAAGCTGAGAACAGTGCTGGTGCTGGATTTGGGTAAATATCAGATCTTTTTAGTAAAATTTTAACAACAAAAGTTAACGTGTAGATTCTATTATGCAGTACTTGAGAAAAATTTATGGCCAAGACTATAAGGATAGTTCTCATTGTGCGTTATTCACTCGTATCATTAATGTCAATGTGTTTATCGTCATAGTATATGCAAAGAACATACATCGTGAACTACTATGGTTTACTTGTTTTTTGAAATACCAAGGGGGGTGCTACTATTAACTATTAACTATTAACTTGAATACTTAATCTTTTTAATGAAATATGTTGTTCAATAGCAGGTGAGTTGGAGTTCAGTGATGCTTTGCTAAGGAGGTGGAGGTGCACAAAACCCACGAGGTAGTTTTTTGAGAACTTTTGATTGTTTTTTTTTCCTGAATGTTTTTTAGAGGTGCGTGACCGTTCATAGTAGGGGTACAAACTTAGTATTACCTTATTGTTGTCCACAAAATGCATCATACACGCTTCTTCCCCAAAACTTTTGGGGATAGCAAAATTGCTTATGTCCTGGTTAGTAATATCATCTTTCTTATTTTCTCAATGGGTGGTTTATTGGCTTGTTATATATGTCATGGACTTCTATTGGCTTTCTATTGGTAACTATTATCAACGACAATCACTAATAATAGTAGAAAACCTAACAAGCTAATAAAATCACACCTCAAGAGTCAAGAAAATAGGAATAATGATGTTACTAACCTGCATGGACATTGCCATTTCTATCTGTGGCATTGCTATCCCCATAACTTTTAGGGAAAGAGGTGTGCATGATGCATCATCTTTTGCACAATTATAAAGGTAACACTATGCTTGTACCTCTTCTCTAAAAGGTTACAAACTTGAAACAGAAAGAATATTTTAATGAACAATTCGGAGAAAGAACAACACTCACAGAAGTTCTCAAAAAACCCAACCCATTGTGAACTATTTTCGGTTACTTGTTTCACCAGGGTTTAAGGAGCAACTGTTGATGCACTACACGTAATGGGAGCAGATGAATTAGATGGGAAACTACCTATGGAAATTGGTGAACTGGGTTTAAGAGGTACCAATCATAAGGATGTCATGGATGGTGATCGTGTGCATACAACCAACTGTAAGGCCATGCCAAAGGAAACTAAGAACAGCCAGACAAGTGGAAGCTGTATCCATTTTTCTTTCATTTATTTCTTGTTTTGTCAATATCTTGTTCATGATGAGTTCTTTTTCTAGTTTCTGTTCTTCTTTATTTCATCATTTGCTGCCTCCGAACATAAGTTTTCACCTTAACAGAGCTTTATCAGGTTTTAGAAAAACTTGGCAGGTAGATGATGATCAGACTTCGGTGCAAATTATATTTAAGTTGTTGTCAAGGTTGATTACAACTTGAAGAAATATTGTTACTTGTTAGTCAAGGAGATTATTTCTGATACGATAACTGAATAATGATAATTTATTTTTAATTTTAGAAAGAGCAAAAAGAAGCTTGAAGAACTTTTACATCAATGGTCTGAGTGGCATGCTCAACAATGTTCTCCATCTGAGGCAATATATTATTTCTTATCAACATCAACTTTGAGAAAGAGTTTGCAGTTCATGGGGATTGACTTGCTGAATTTGTTTTACAATTGTCAGGGTTTTGATGAAGAGCTTGAGTCAGGTGTCGAAACCTACTTTCCTGCACTAAATGTTAGCCTGGACAAATCATACATAATTGTATGCTCGATATCTCTTTTCTTTTCTTGTTTGCCACTTGATGAATGCGTCTATTACTATAATGTTCTCTCCTTACCAAAACTGAGTCCACATTTGGCTTGTTAGCTTCGAATGTTTACCTTTTCAGCTTAAAAATAAATGGCATAGTTTGGTTATAGATGCAAAAACAATTTTTACAATCAAATATGCAAAATAGACAAACAAATTTATTGTACTTTCATTTTTTTCAATATCATAAGATTTATCAATTAGATGCTTGTATTTCCACAACTATAACAATTATGTCATTTTTCTCCAATTTTAATTTTTTGACCTAACATAATCATTGATAACAAAGATTAATATTCTTTGTCAAACAATTCTTCCTCTTGTTTTATCCTCCAAAATTGACCATTTATGTTTGATTGTTGGTTAATATGATTAAAATTGGATGAAAATGATGTGGTTGATATGACTGCGATTTGTGAGTATAATCATGTGACTGATAAATCAAATACTTCAGTATGTAATTGAAAGAAGTACAAAAACAAAGTGATCAGTTTACCTTTTTTGCCCATAAAGTATAACAACTTATGAAGATTGTGAAGTTTTAAAACGAAAGAAATAGAAACATCATGTCAATTTTGCATTTTGGAAAGCTGATTGTTTAAATATCAAAAATAAAAAATTTGTACTTTCATATTTTTCAATTGCATAAGATTTATCAATTAGATACTCGTGTTTTGAGATGGGATCATTAAAGAAGTTCTTACGTTTTCAACGTTTAACATGTACACTTCTTGGCATATCATGTACATCTTGTAATCCCCTTGTTTAGTACTAGTTATATGATTACAAGATCTAGTTTCACACTTTTGATTGTCATATGAAAATTGCCATGACATGCTAATATAATCTCACTTTTTTAGTGATCCACTTCCACTGGAAGGATAGAGCCAAAGTTAAGATACAATCAATGCCAGGTCTCGGGTCATTTGTATCTTCTAACATTTCTTTTCCTTGTATACAAGTCCTTTTACATGGACGATCAAGTGAAGAAGCAAAAGACTGAGGATTCCCTGTTCAATAAAGACTCTGTACCTATCTATGATCGCGATTTTGCATTTGCCTTAACATCAGGTGATGGGATGGCTAACAATGAGAGGTATATTTTTGGACTTGAGTATAAATTCGTGTTTCCCACAATCCACATAAATCATAATGTTTTAGTATATATGCAACAAGATGAAGTCATAGAGGCCAAAGATTGTTGACTCAGACATAAAAGTCGGTTAAACTATGCACAATTGCATGGCTGAATTGAATGGAAAGCAATGATATAGATAGTGGTTCAGTGTGATAATTGATAACTTAGAAACAAATCTCAGAACTATTGATTGAAACTATATACTTCACAAAACTTGGCTTTTTGGTCTTAAGGTCCTCTTTACTGCCTTTATAAATCTTAGGATTTGTGCAGAAATGATTGTAAAAGGGCTTGTAAGTTCTCCAGAGACTATACTCTACAGAGCAGAAATTTTAGACAGTACCACTTACATGGGAAAATACCAAGTAAAGAGAATGATAGAATTTTTTTTGTTATGGTGTTTTAACCTTTAAGTTCATAATTTTCACACTTTCCAACATAACTGTCTTTATGCTTGTCAATGCTTTAACACAGTGTTCTGGATATTCTGAATGCTTCTCGTTGCTTTAACTGTGAAGCATATGATCATTCACTGAAGGAGTGCCCAAAGCCTTTTAACAAAGTTGTTGTCAACAACGCCCGCAAATTGCATCAGTTGAAAAGTAAACGGCCTGCTGGTCCTTATGTTCTAACACGATATTACCAAGATACTCCTGGTGGAAAGTTTGATGGATTAAGCCCAGGTTGCCTTGATTCGGAGACAAGGAAACTCTTAGGCCTTGGGGTAAGAGTGGAAGATACATTTTTCAGTACCACTCTGCATTAAATCATAAATGGTGACTAAACAATGAAAAAAAAGTTCCACAAACCCCTTTTCTGAAGGTAGTTTTATGTCTAAAAGACTGAAACTAAGTTCCTAGTACAAACATGTATAATGGGTGCACTGAGTTGTATATTTAAATCTCTGCATAGGACCAAGTCTATGTGTCTTATACAAAATATATGTCTTTTTATCTGTACAAAAACACTACTTTGTTGTCATGTAGAGTTATTTTTCTTTCCCAAGGATATTGCATTGTGGGTGTGCTTGTTTTTATCATGAAGATATTACTGATTGCTAGATTTTTTCACCTATGCTTGGCTTGCGACAGCCTTGTTTTTGGAATGTTACCACAGACTTGGCTAGGCATCTGCTACACACATATATGTAACAACATTCACTATTCTGATACAAATGTTTATGTAGGTTAAGTTCAAAATAAGATTAATAATAGACAATACGTTAATTGGACTCACTTCTGTTAGAGTTGAGAGTGATGCAAGGGTGATCCCGGTGCACCAAGGGTCCTTGACTCTGCCAATGCTGGGAATGGAAGTTTTTCTTGTGTTTTGCTTGCAAAGAGGCTATTTCTGTAATTCAAAGTCACAAAAGATCAAGTTTATCGGTTGCTCCCTGGCTCATCCTTGATAGAGTGTAAAGAGCAAAAGTGTATGGAAGAAGTATGCAATCAAAGTGTAGAGACAAAAGTTCAGTAATTGCTTAATTTACATGTAATCATTAACCAAAGAAACTTTACCCAATAGTTTTCTTCAACATCACATATTCAACACTTCATTTGAACACTGTATGCTCTACTTTTATCCTACACAGTTGATGTTTTTTTACCACTTTCTAAGTGTTGTTGCTTCAAGTAATTATAAGACGCTCTTTATTTGAGATCCTTTTGACTATTATGTTTGAAGACTTCCATTGAACTTGTTTTATTTTTGTTTTATGAAAGTGTATATCTATTAAACTTTGCTGTTTGTTTTAATCCAGGAATTCGACCCGCCTCCATGGCTCAATAGAATGCGTGAAATGGGATACCCGCCTGGATATCTTGGTAAGTGTTTTGTTTTCATTTCACAACAGGAGACACCAATGTCTTTCTTGTTGTAACTATAACAGAAAAAGTGGCTTCTACTATTGATATCAATAGAGACCAGGAACATCACATTATCGTGGAAGGTGAAGAACAGGACAGACAGAGTTGGTTTCAAAAATAATTCTTATTATTCTATGTTTGCCAACTAAAATACTCCTGATTTGTCTCTATTACTTGGTTTTCCTTGATATTTTTGAGGATTTGTTTTTTTTAATATTGCTCAGATTTGGAAGAGGACCAGCCTTCAGGAATTGTAATATATGATAATGGAGATTCAAAAGAAGAAAATGAGGAATGCCTGAACGTAAACCCTACAGAGCCGAAGAGGAAAATGAGCGTGGATTTTCCTGGAATAAATGCACCAATTCCAGTAAAGGCAGATCGAAGCCGCTGGGCTACTCCTAATTTGCAACCAACAGGTTTTAACTCTTGCAGTAATAATATCCCGTTAAACTACTCTTATAATCCATGCCAGTTGCCAGATTATAGGCAAGAGTCGAGTCCTTTTATGTCTGAATATGCATGTAATAACCGAAGTTATGCACCCGGATTTCCGCTTTTGTCTAAGTATGCAAATGAATACTGGGATCACATAAATCAACCTACCCCTCACTATTCATCATATGCATATCAAAACTCATGGTCATCATTTCATGGTTGATCAAACCCTACCCTGGCTCATTTTTGGAATTTTGTATCTTGTTCTGTTGCATGGTTGGGCCTTGCTATCTAAACATGTACATTAGATGGAACTCCCCTCAAAACATAGTAATATTTATTGTTTTATACTTGTAGTTTTACTTTGTTCTGAGTTTTATATATTCCAAAGCAATTAATCATGTGAAAGATTTGTTGGAGGCCTAATATTTCTTTGTAGTATTTGATTGTTTAGTTGTGTAGCCAATATCTAGACCGGTGGGTGGCATTATTTCTTTCTTTCGGGTATTAATGGTTTCTTAGGGATGAAGTGTAGTAGCTTCTCAGGGGTGGTCATGTTGAAGGTAGACTTGAGTTAAGCTTGGTTTAGAGCTGGTTCTGAAAAGTTTGGTGTTGGCCTGGTTAGGCATGTTGGTTTAGCATTTGTGAACGAGTTTGATTGTAACTTTGGACCGGTTGCTTATGCTAGAGATGGATGCAATACGAAAAGTTCGGTTCGGGGAAGACTTGGTAAAGCTCTATTTTGGACTGATTAAGGAACGGTGGTTTTGTCTGTCTTGATAACGTAATAGTCTGGTCCAGACTCTAGTGTGGACCAAACAGACCGATCCGTCTAGTTATGTATCAGTCCAAATCTGTTGTAAGATTTTTGGTGGCCATCTGTAGGTCCAACCGTCCAAGCATTTGTGAATGAAATCTGGTCACATGCAGGACTCGTTAGGTCCAAGCTTGGTCCCATCCCAATTATGTTTTTGTCATGTTTTTTTTTTTAATTATTTCCGTGTGCACTTTAAAAATAGCTTATATAAATAAGTAATAGTAAAAATATATCGTGCTACTAAATTGCTAGTAAATCCTTTATAATTGTTAAATTAGTTTAAAATACTAAATTATGGGAAAAATAATAAGCATGATCTAAATAATTTTTTGAAACCTAAAAATGTAGTGTAGTTACATGATTGTGTTGAACATTAACTACAAATGTCAAAAAATATCAAGAATTATTTAAAATTATATTAAAATAAAATCTTGTTTTGTTTAATGTTTTTTGGGGACTTTTCAACCCAATGATCCACCAACACAACCTTGTATATAACTAATAGGGTTACATTATGCATTAAAAATATTTGAGTTAATTAGAATTATTCTGTAGATATTAATATATATATATATATATATATATATATATATATATGACTTCATTTATAAAATCACCATATTTCATTGAACCTTTTAATTCATATTGATATGTATAAAACTTCATTTATAAAATCACCATATTTCATTGAACCTTTTAATTCATATTGATACCATGGAACATATGTTTTTCGATATATAATGATGTAAAAAACGTCTTAACTTGATTAGTATTTTCATACTTTTACTTGACGTATAAATATATTAAATTAATTAGATTTTTTTTGAATTATTTATTAATATAACAATATTAAAATATTGTAGATCACAATATATTTTGTTAACATTTCAAAGAGAACATTAAATACACATTTTTTTTACAAACAAAATATATCTCGAAAATAATGTTTCATATTTATTTAAAAAATATTTTACTCTATAATATTTAATTTACATGCAACTTGATAAGAAAATGTCAAACAAATTAAATATTTTTTAAGATCATAGCAATGAAAAATAAAATCACTAATAATAATTTGAAATAAATTTTTATTTTTATTTTAGTTAAGTCATCAAAATGATGTGTCATCCACATCACCTCATTAAAGCCACACAAGTAAAAAAACTCAAGGGGTTAACTGGTTTTAAAAGGTAGCAGGTTACCCATTGCTATTATGGGTAATTTTTTAAAGTATGATGCCTTAATAAAAAATAATTTGAAAATACATTGTTGTAATAAGAAAAAAAAAACAAAGGTAGAATGCTATAATAAGAAAATTTATGAAAGTAAGTTGCTATTTCATGCATTTAGGGTTTAGTTTTTTTTAAAAAATAGATTTAATGTATATTTGAATGACCTAATTAGATATTTTAAAGTGTCTTTCAATAAAATATTTACAAAAAAAAAAAAAGAGAATTTTCAAATAAGAGATTTTATATGTTTCAATTGGGACCGACTTGGGTCTAGCTCTGAGAGTGAGCTGGATGTTTGAATCGAGAGTGGTTACCATAGGAAAATCTCAGACTAGCACCAATTTAGTTTAATAACTAACATGGTGTTGATAAATTCATGGCAGGTTAAGCAAACCATCAAGAATTTTTTTTAGTTCAGCCGCATTTGCATCGTAGATTAATATTTATTCGTAAGGACAAGATTACCCAATTAAATAGTCGTTATCCTTCTCTATCGTTTATTTCAAATTTCTTTTTCCATCTTTTCGGTGACGTTTCTACTTTACAATGGAAAATGATATTCCATCAAAACATTAGTTTACTTTTAACATATTTCAGGATGGAGTTCTTAAGTGCACTGTTTTTTAGCAACTTTTCCTCTTGAGGAGTGTTAGCTCTTGATATGGTTGACGAGTGGCTCGCCCAAGTTAAATAACAAGGTAAAATGTTGATCCATGTATCTTGCCTTCTATGATTTCACATCCCACTTTTACCACATATTTTTCTAAGTTTTACCATAGTGAAAAACGTACTCTTGTGTGGCCCCGGATCAATTGGTTGTGTTCCGGTCCGACAATTTGGGACCGAGTACAAGTTTTATGAAATTTCAAGGCTTAACTTTACCCTGGTAGTGGGACTGGGGAGGTTATATATAGGACCAATTTTTCATTTTTTGTAAGTTTTTATATATTATGTAAACCAGTTTTTTTATAAAAAATTTAAGTTATTCAAGATTTTTCCAAGTAATTGTGTTATATAAAAGCATATTTCAATACTAAATTCAAAAAATTGAAACTATACCGGCTTGATGGGATCGGTTAACAAGCCTAGAAGTAGTCCTAGGATTTTTGGTTAGGTCGGTCCTGGGACCGTTTTAAGACTGGACCAACAATTGTGACATGCAGAATTGGTTAGGCCCAAGCTTAGGGGCTGTTTGACAGTTGCTGAATGGTTTGGTGCTGAATAATTAATAGACTCTTATAATATAGTACAAAATGAAATATAATTCTTTGGTAATTACTCAGAATGAAATTAAAGTACTGAATGGTTAAGGGATACATAAGATACAAATTCATTCAGAGAGTTTTAGAATAATTAAGAGACATATTTTTTTTTTGTCAAACAAGAATCACCTCTTAACAGTTCAAAGGCTGTCTCTTAATGGAACCATTAAGAAGTAAACAAACAACTTCTTAGTTTTAATTATGTTTAAATTATTTTCATGTGTATTTTTTCAAGTCACTTTTATATAACAAGTATTTAATTGTTAATTATTTAATTAAATCAAATTAAAAGAACTATTGTTTTAGACAATGTGGTATTGGGGACTTTTTCAACCCATTGTCCAACTCCACGAACCCAACCTCCTATATAACTCATAGGGTTGTGGCGAAGGATGCTAGAACTTAAAAGATAGAGATGTGTGAGCTGAAATCGTTTTTCATTTTAAATTAATCTATTAATTATGTTTTAAAAGAGAATTGATTTAGTGTTTTTTTATTAGTGTGTTGATCTAGTGGATCTCTTTAATTAGGATTGATACAAGGTGGAAATTTCTTCTTACCTTCCTCACTATAACTCACATTCTCACCGGAACCCAACCCTAGGGTTGGGTTATGCATTAATTTTTTGAGTCGATTATGGAATTTTCTGGTCAAAGTAATTAGGTTGGTTTATTTAAATGTTTTTAACCCGACTAACAATTTCTTCTTACTATATGTTGGAACATGATTTTTTTCTTCCCTCAAGTGCTCTTTTGGAGAGTGAGTGATCTAATGAGATTTTATGTATTCTCACATGGTATCAGAATCAAGGTCTACCATTCTAGGTACCAGACACCATCAGATAATCTATGTCCATCTAGCCGTTGCTAGAGGGTGTGTTGGAATTCAGTAGTGGCTAGATTTAGATTATATATCTTCCAAATTATATTAATTACTCATTCATCTCCTTAATGGCTCTTTTAGAGAGTAATATAATATGATTCCATATATCCTCACATCAACCCTAAAGCGATCCAATAACATTATATGTCGCTATACTCTTAGAACAGGACAGAGGAATGACGTCAGTTAATTATAAACCCTTTTACACAAACATTAACGTATGTTAGTTATATTTACATGATCGCCAATCTACCTAAAGGATTTAGAAAGAGTATCTAAATTTCATACAAAGCAAATCAAATCAAACAAACTGCTATTCATTTAATTCCATATGTTATAATAATTAACCCTTGGTAAATAATTTGAAAGCTTCATATCATTCTAATAGGTGTAACACATTTCATGAATGATCATGTATTCCCATAAACATTAATATATAACTCATTTACCAAATCACTCTATCACATATATGCAAGCCTATAATCCATAATATTACCATTTCAACCATGCAACATATATTTTTATATACATAAATACCCTCCCATTAATGATTGAAAGAGGTCTTAATTACACATAATTAGTATTTCCATTCCATAGATACAAATTATATATGTATGTATGTTTTAGTTCTTAGCCGGCTAGGGGTGGCACTAATGGTGGCTCTTTGAAGGACCTGAAGGCGGTATCGAGTTGCCCTTGGGCAGCATACCCAAGAGCAACCCTGCTGGCTTCTTGAAAGCCGTCTCTGACATTGTTATCTGGGAGTTCATGGATGACGATACTGTCTCCCCACGGCTAGTCGAAGAGCTGGCATTGACAAGAAGGATCACCACAAAGAGAACCATCAAGAACTTCCATGGAGTTTTGAAAGAAGAAAAGAAGGCCATGATTGAGAGGACAATTGATTTAGGGGTGTAAATGCTTTGTAGGATGTTGAAGTGAAATGTATATATATACACACACAAACACACACATATATATATATATATATATATATATATATATATATATATTAAAGAAAACACATGAAGTGATGAAGAGAAGGAGACGAAAAGTGTTAAGAGTCTAAGCAATGAGAGAGACGTCAATGGCATTCTACATAAAAGTTAGTTGAAGTTTTAGTAAATGTAGAATAAAATACAAGTTTTATGTTTATATCAATTAATTTTTTTTTAAAATCTAAAATTTGAAGTATTATAAAATTTAGGTATATTTTGTAGAATATTTAAACTATATTAAATTTTAGGATTAAGAGATGAACTGATATAATGATCGATCAATAAAACTTATTTTTTATGATTAATTCATCTGTATTAAAATGTTTGTTACTCAAAAATGTAATCAACCATTATATATTTCTTTTCGTATGCAAAAACCATCGAAAGTTTCTAAATTCAGAAGCAATTATCGTATATAATGTATTTTATCTAAAGATTAACGTGATTCAAATTATTTCACGTATTTTCCAAAAAAGGAAAGTTAACAATCGTTGGATATCTGTAACCAAATAAAACAAATTTCCACAACTCCTATCAAATTTACATTTTATAAACGTAGAATGATGTGTAACACGTCTATGTCAAGTATGATGGTTACTTTTACGCACAAATATATTTTTAAATTCAATTTGATTTATTACATCAAATCTATTTAAGACGTGATTATTTTTTTTATAATGATAAATTATAAATGTAACTGATATTTGTAATGATAAAGATTGCGTTATTTTGATTTATATGTATTCAGTTCACAATGTAAATTTTTTTTATGTATAACTTTTGTTTCACAAACAGGTTAAAAAGGTTCATATTGTGAAACAAATAAATGTGAAAGGGAATTTCACCAAAATGACCAAAAAAATACATAATATATTAACAAAATAGTCATTTTTTTCAAGTTTTACCAAAAATAACAACACGGATCGCCCCCTGAGGGCACGTTTGACCATGAGGGACGATCCAACCTTCTTTGACCAAAAAATTACAAAAAAAACTAATTAAAAATAAAGATTGTGTTATTTTGGTATGATGGATAAGTAGATCATCAATGTGTAGATGTAGCGTCCCAAGACCCGAGATCATTAAAAACCAACCATCCATGTGATGTGGATGTACAAAATATATTCATGACATTAAGATCTAGTAATACGTTACATGAACAAGTTAATTAAAAGGATAATTATCATAAACACGCACCAAGTCATGTCGGATTTATATTTTGAGCGACTTAAAGAAGTCGTGAAATGGGAATCCAGGTTATGGTTCTCATTTACCATCTTTGAACCAGAATCACGAAAACTGACCTCACTCATGGTAACTTCTTGACAAGCCTTTATTCCGTAAGGGCTAAATTTTGTAGGTATGAAATCAACTGGGATGCATAGGTTAGAGTTATTCCATGCCCCGAATCGCCTACCCATTTTACCGTAGAACCCTCGAGTGAATTTGAGCTCTCCTGTGAGGTTGTTTCCATACACGTATAGTGAAGTTAGATCCGGTAATTCTGCCAACTTTGATGAGAGATTACTCGAGAGATGATTGTCGTGAAGACCCAAAAATCTTAGCTTTTTCAACTGCGAAAGGGACTCCGGAATACCACCCATCAATCGTGTGCTCGAAAGATCCAACACCATGAGCCCTTGAAGATTTTGCCACTCGATGTTCATGAGATCATCTCCGATTGGGTTTCTTGACAAAACCAACTCTTGTAATGAACACATTTCTTGAATTGATTTGGTCAACCCACCAGAAATCTTGTTGTTACTAAGATCCAGAAGGGTTAGGTTCTTCAAATTGCTAATCTCACTTGGGATTCTCCCTTCTAATTGGTTTTCACTCAAGTCAAGCTTCAAGAGAGAAGTCAACCCTCCAAAAGTCAAAGGCAAACTCCCAGATAATGAGTTTCTACTCAAATCCAAGATCAATAACTCACTCAAATAACCATAACTATCTCCGATTTCACCCGTGAACCCATTCCCAGATAACACCAATCTCTTCAAACGAGTCAGGTTACCAATGTTTTCCGGTAAACCACCCGATAATCCGTTTTCGATTACCACCAAAGATTGAAGCTTTTCGAGTTGACCAAAATCAGGTGGGATGTTTCCGGTGAGACCAAGGTTCGACCTGAACTCGAGAGACTCGAGGCTACCCGAAAACGCAGCCCAGTTTCCGGAAGGAATTGGAATGGGTGCCACAAAGCAGTGAAAGAATGCAAGTGATTTGAGGTGGTTGAGTTGAAACAAATGGGGTCTAAATTCAACATATGGAGCACAGGCAAGAGAGTTATCATCAACGGAACCAATGTTTAAGTCTGTGACATACCAGAATCCATCAAAAATATCACAAGAAACACCCTGTAAAACAAAACCAACTAACATTAAGGCTTTAAAAACAACAAAAGTCAGTCAAATTTGAAAGATAAAAAGTCAAGGTGGACTTTCAAAAGTCAAAGGCATGTATAGTTGTGTGATCAGAGGTGGGGTACCTGAATAGGAGTCCAACCACAAGGATCAGGATAAAGATACGAGCCATTCCACCATTGACCCACAAAACCTTGGATAGCAGAGTACAAAGCTTCTTGCTCTGTTTTCACCATTGGAGCTCCTCCTTCCACACCTTCATATTCACCATTTTCTCCATTGACGCATATCCCAATCAAGCTCAGTATCACAATCATAACAACAACAACAACAACATCTTCAACACTTGTTCTAGTAAAAGCCATCATCAAGAACTGTCTGCTTAATCCCAACAAAAGAACAAAGTTTTGAAAACTGAAACTTCTGGTTAAAGAAACAGGGAAATCAATCAAATTAAAGCGATAAGAACAGTCTAGGAGTTAGAGGTTTTACCTTTATGTCGGTAACTGTAATCAAACATAAGCAGGAATCATTTTTTCTGGAACTTAAAACTAGATTTTTGCCAAATTGAAGTAACATAAAAGAAAAGGACTTGACAGCGATCATGAAACGATGATGGATTATAAACCCCATAAGATTATATGAAGGAAGAATCCAAAAAGAGATTCAATGATGGGCAACTTAGGAAAGGAAGGTTGAAAGTGTTAGGTCTGGTTTCCATAATGTCTGTAGGGTTGCAGAGAGAGGGTGCAGCAAAGCAGTAGGAATGTAGGATGGTACATCACACAAGATCTAACAGCCAAAAGCCTAAAATTCTCACTTTTCTTATGCCATTCTTCATTAAATATCGAGGTTAGAATAGAAGAGGTGAAGCCAATAAAACATAGATGACAGTACATTTTGTACAGGATAAACTTAATACAACAGTATTGGTGTTGATCGAGTAATTGTTGGTCAGGAAGAAGGACGCAAAATCGTAGTTGTGCATGAACATGCATGAAAGTAGTTGAACTAACGAATCTCGTTATCCGGTTCAAATCCTACAAAACCACTAACGATTTTCTTGATTGATTGTCTTCTAGAACGTTGAGATCAGTCGAGATGTGTAACTCGGGCACCCATGGTTGACAAAATTACGTATGCAGCTTAATGAATCATCTCTTCTCAAACTTCATGTTCATTGTTTGAAACGTAACTTGTATGAGAAGTTAATTGTATAAAAATATGAATTCAACAAGTGATTTGTATTAATAATGAATAGTTTTGTGAGGTTGATAGAGTATTATTTTTCAGTTGGTGCTAACCAATTGACAGTTTAAATGAGGGTGAGTACAAAACTAAAACCATAACTAAGATTCACTGCTTGCTTGTACCATGTACTTGAAAGGTTGTACAACAAACAACATAAAAAACACAAAGGTACAGCTTCCTCTAAAACCTTCCCCAAACCCTTCTCTTCCTCTTTTAACTCGTACCAGTGCATACACCGCGCCTTGTGTATAGTAACGTTTTTTTTATTATCAAGAAACACGTTAAATTATGATATAAGAAACATTATTTGTTAATTAACTAATAAAAATATAATATAAAACAATGAATGTACTTAAAATGTTTTAGATATAAATTAATTTTATTTTTTTAATATGAAAATAATTAGGTTTTTTATTTATGGATAGACATTCGATCGTCTATTTAATCTTCATCATAATGTGAACTTTGTCGTTGAAAGGTCATATATAAACATAAAATATTTTTTGTTTATGAAAATTAAATTGTCTTAATATCTTTTAATGATCCTGACAAACAAACAAAAAACATCCAACTTATCATTGACAAAAATAAATAAATGACAAATCTCAATTCATGGTGCAACTCAAAACACAAAATCTATAAGAAAAAACTTTTCATAGTTCATAAAATGGAACAAATTTAGTTTATGATTCACCATATAAAAAACGTAAATTTATAATTTATCAAACAAATAACCCAATTCTTGAAATTTGAAAAATATACAAAATCTTAGAATAGACAATACATTTGTTCTTATAAATGTTAATGAAGTTGTGACAGATAGGGATAAATGTATTTCATTGAAACCTTAAACTTATTTCAAGTAAGAACCCAACTTAATCATAATCCTATATAACATATATGTATATAATACAAACACACACATATATTTTGTACAACACCAAGCTCCTTTTTAAATAAAAAAAAGTTAAATTATATGATAGCAACTATTTTAAGTCTTCAACTATAAAAACAAAAAATGATTCACCTAATTTTTCATTATTTTTATTTAGTTTGAATTGAAAAGTGTTCACTAAGGGGCTGTTTACCTAAATGCTTACTCGGTAAACGTTTATCATTAAGAATCAACACTATAATTTATTTTATCGGACAAGATTTTTTTTACATCAAAATGTATCTTATGCAACAATTTACATGGTAAGTCGTCATCCTCACTTACCGGGTAAGACTCTCCATTCTTATCATCGCTCTTACCGGATAGGATTTTTGCCCCTTGCCATGTTCATCAGATAAGGAATATTGTCCAGTAAATACTTACTGGGTAAGAATTTAGTAAATGACCCCTAAATGATTAATTCTTTTATTTTATATATTATGTTTTATTTATAACAACTGTTATTTATACAACATTTAACATAATTAAAAACTTTTACTTTTATTTACTTTTTTATTTTCTTGGTTTAACATTTTTCACGAAAGTCCATATTAATTTTTTTGGCGATGCCTTTACGTTCCTGAATGTGTGTTGCAAAAAAAACTGTTTGAGTTTGAAAAATGAACTATTTTGTCAAACCTTTGTCAAGACTTGATTAACACTTTTCCAAAACCTAATTAAATCCATTTTGGGTTACAAAAAATTTATTTTAAATTACAAAAATACAAATTTTAAGCCAGAAAAAACATTACAATTTGCATAGATAGGTGCATGATAACATAGTATAGTAAAAGAAACTTCACTTGATGAACGTAATTGCGAAAAACGTAAAGAAAGATTTTTTTTATTTTGATCTTCTTTAGGATAGAGAATGTTGTTGATATGAGTTCAAACAAAAAAAAAACACTCAAACATTTAAACAAACTGTTTGTATTCATGTGTAGGAACGAATAGAGGGACCAAAATTATAATAACGGAGAGAAAATGATAGAAAGCTATAAAATACCATTCTCGGCAAAATTTCACCGTATTAATCTTCCGCAATGTAGTCCCGGTTGAACTTGGGTGCGTGTTAATGTTTTCAAAAACATAATCGATTGTTTCTTGAATGCCGAAACTAAACGGAGATGAAGAGATTGAGAAAATAAAGAGAATGAGAGATCAAACTTAAAGCAACCAAGAGAAAGAGGCATAAAAATATAAAATTATCATTCTCGTCAAAATTTCACCATACTAATCCTCCGCTATGAAGTAGTCCTCATTGAACTTGGGTACGCATGAGAATGTTTTCAAGAACATAATCAATTATTTCCTTGATAACAATTTATGCCAAAAATAAATGGCATTAGGACTCTGTCTTCGTTCTTACCGGGTAAGATTATTTGTCCTTGCTATATTCATCAGTAAGGTAATATAACTTGATAAACACTTAACGGTTAAGTGTCTGATAAACGATCCCTTAGTCGATTACTAGATATCAATTCAAAATCCAACAGAATTAAATCGATCCAATCTAATCGAACGAAGGATTTGTATTTAAAAAGTATTTTGTACTTTTGTAGTAAGGGATTGGTGGACCACATGATGTTGATAATAGATGTAATTAATGAAGTAGTGTGTTAATCTATTTCGTCATAAATATTATAGGGGGAGTGAGGCCAATCTATATATAGCATACGGACAATGATGCATCATACAACCAGTCCACGCTAACATAATTAACACACACCCCACCCTATTGCTTTACTCCTACTCCTACTCCTACTCCTACTCCTACTCCTACTCCTACTCCTACTCCTACCTATGCACCACTATTATCTACCTTTTCAATTTATTTTTGTCACGCTTTTCGTTCGATTTAAATACGTATAAAAAAATGCCACTAAATGTTCAACTTAAGCAGATGAACACGTTGCAAACTAATACAAGATTCGACTGATTCATAATGAACCAGATGGCCATAAAACAAACCGTTAAACGAATTTGTAGTAAATACATGCTGGCATTTGATATTAAACCAATTTGTAACAAAGCTACTGAAAGATTAATCACATTGTGTAATACTTAATAAACACAAAAGTTAATGGTTAGTAACAAGAAATTAGAGGCCTAGAGGCGAAGAAAGTAGATTCGGTTAGAAAAGGATCACATAATAAATCATAATTAAAAGATCAACATTAACAAACCTTGAATCAAATGAATTCAAATGACTTTAAATAGGTTGAGGTCTAAAAAATATTCGAGTTTAATTGATAGGGGCACTAAAGGAACATTTTTTACACCACTTCGATTTATCTTTTTGTTGAGGGCATGTGCCCCCTACCACTATAACCTAAATCCACCCGGGAACGAATACAAAAAATTTCATATCTTGTCCTCAGGGTGTAACTCATTTGGTTTCGGAATGGTATATTTTACAAAGAAATGAGAATTTGAGTCGTATAGTCACGATGTCCGAGTTACAAATCCTTTGAGGATTGGGCTCCTTGTAGGTACTGAGCCAGTAACCCAATTGTCGATGTGTAGGGTTGGACCTACTAAGCACCCATTCAACCATCCCGATATAACTGAAAAAGATTTAGAGGCCTTGAAGGTACAATTGCTTTAAATTGACGTCGGCTTTCGTAAGTTAACAAAAAATTGTTACTACATACTTGTAGTATCATTACATATGATACGATTGGGGGGGGGGGGGGGAATTGGTAACAATAGCATAAAAGAAAAAGAAATATCTACTTAGGTGTTCCAAAAAAAACATTATAGGTCATTTTCAACTTTCACATATTATTCTTGAAACTAAGAAGTGTCATGGGTTGTTTGGTTGGTTTTCCGTCAAGTCTTGTATCGATACATCTATCTGTTTGGATTAATTTATCAGTATAGATTGAGAAGGTTTTATTTCAGATGGTTTTTTCATAGATGGAAAAGACATGCTTTTAATTGAGAGAGACGAATTTTAAAAAAAAAAACTTGGTTTTCTGCATTTCCCATCATCTCATCTGCTTCATATTCTTTCTGAAAAATCACACATATCTTCTTCTTGTTTCAAAATCGTTTCTTCTGACATGGCAATAGCGCAAAGAGACTCATGCTCTACTTGCATTGCAAATCTTGCAATCACCAATTCACCATGCATGATTCATCATCCAAAAACCTTGCAGGTGCTATCATTATTCGTTGAGAATTTCATCTGAATCCTTGCTGCAGCCTAAGTTGGTTATGCATTTACGATCATGAAATACCGGAATTCTAGGACTATAATCCTGTATCAACACATGGACGTAGCCATATGATTCCAAACTTGTTGTCGAACCAGAAACTCTTATACCCTAATTTCAAGAATGAATCATATGAGGTAATTAAACTAGTTATTTATACTTGAAGAATCAAATCCTTTTTAAAGAATAGTTAAATGAGATGCTTTGTATTAAAAGTAGGGAAAAGTCCAAAAAAAACCCAATGGACTTTACTGTTTTGAACGATTAAATCATTGGATAATTTTTTGAAACAAATAAATCTTTGGACATTCTAGAACTCGTTAAATAAGTCATTGGACTTTACAAAACTTGTTAAATAAGTCCTTGGACTTTCTAAAATATGTTAAATACATTTTTGTTAGTGGAAAAGGTCCGAAAAAACCAATGGATTTTCATGTTTTGAACAATCAAGTCCATAAATATTTTTTGAACGAAAAAAGTACTTACATTTATAAAAAAAAACAAATATACCATTCTCATTACTATTCGCAAAATATACAAAAGTTGTATCCAAAGCATAATAATCTGCATATTGGGCATAATTTTACCAAAAGTTAAACCAAAATATATACCAAAAGTTGAACCAAAATATGCAACAAAAGTTACGCAAAAAAAATACTAACAATTGCGCCAAATATACCAAAAGTTGCACCAAAAAATACCAACAATTGCGCCAAATATACCAAAAGTTACGCTAAAATATACCAAAGTAATGCCTAATCTATGTTAAGGTCATGGTATGAATTATTCTTCATTTGCATCATTAAATTCTGGTAGAGATATAGCCATTTGACTTTGTTGTAACCCTTCTTGATGTCTAACAACATTATCACTTTTATGATATTCTTCATCACCAACAATAGCATCACCTTCATTACGGTCTTCATCGTTAACAACAACCTCTCTTGAAATTGAATACGGTAGGATGCTTCTCTTGAATCTGACATATGTTCACTTGAATTATCGTCTATTTCATAGCTAGGATCATCACTATAATCACCATCGCAATCAGATATCATTCTGTAAACAAAAATAACAATTTCAGTACGATTCACCGATGAAAACATAATGGATGACTATATGTACAAATAAAGACTAAAAACCATTATTATAGCTTGCTTGTTGAAAGCTACTACAAATTTCAATATAAATATATAAATATTATACAACAGTGGCAACAAAAACAATTGGTTATAATTGCATTATAAGTCTTATGATAGCCATATCTTCTATTTGGCTAAGAATGTACAATAATAATGCACACTTAAATAAACACCCATGCATCTCAGCTCCTTCACACACTCCTCATATAGGCCGCTACTCGGATTTAGGCATGGCAACGGGATGGGGATGGGGCGGGTTTTGTAATCCCCGACCCCAGTCCCGGTTTGTAATAACGTCCCCCGGCCCCGGTCCTCAGCGGGTACGGGGGTTATCATCCCGTCCCCGGTTAATTTTAGCAATCCCCGGTCAAAACCCGGTAAAACCCCGGTCAATTCACGGTCAAACCTTATAAAAAGTATCTTTTAGTTTGATTTTACCGGGGATCCCCGACCCCGATTTGAGTAACATCCCCCGTCCCCGGTTTGAGTCTACCGGGGGTCGGGACCTGTTTTAGCGTGGAATCCCCGTCCCCGTTCGGGTCGGGTGAACCGGGTTCCCCACCGGGTCGGGACAAATCACCATCTATACTTGGATTAATCAAATGTTGTTGTGTTGTACAAAGGCCTCAATGTTGTTAAGTATGATTGTGAAAGAAGTGAAATCACTTGGAAGACCTCATGGTTTCATGGAGTTAGTTCCTAATTTTAGAATGAGTTTAACGTTTGTGTAATTAATCTAAGCAAATATGAGCATCACGAATTTGTCAACAAATATGGTAAGGAAAATGAAACAAATTATATATCTTCTGCTTAGTTACTCATAAAAATTTAGGACGAGAGAAATTAGTGGATAAGGATGTATTGGTGAGTGCTTGTATATACTATATATTAGATAAGCCATCATGACTACAGCCCTGGATAGATTCATAAGCACTAATCTCTCTAAGTGCTGATAGAAATCTATAATTTTCTTTCAGTTTTTGGTCATTCAAAGTAAAGGAATTGATGCAATAGTCGGAAGGAGATGCAAAGTTCTTCACACTTAGTGGAGTAATCATCATGCACTGCTCCTAATATTTGCCAAATACAAGTGACTTTTTTGATAAGTGAAAGGTAATAGTGTTCTTCTCCAAAAAAAAAAAAAAGAGGAGCTAGCTTCATTTTCATTTTGGTATTTTTATCAAAAATTCATATTCACATTTGGGCTGCTGGTCAATTGAGAAGCACATAAAGACACTAATTATCCAATGACTTGTGATTATGAACAGCAGCTTCTGTTCCAATTGAACAGCAGCTTCTCAGACCTTATCATGGAAGGAGAAGAAACCAAAGAAGAAGAAAAAAAGAAATCTGCCTCTTGTAGAAACCTCGGCTAATTTAGGAAAATCATAAGTTTCATTTGGTAACAAGCAGAACGGATAACAAGATGATTCAATCTCAGAAATTTCTTACAAAAAATGAAATGTAATTTTGGAGCAAACCTGATTAGTCGAGCGACAGGGGCGGCGACGGAGGTGGTGCGGCGGCGATGGGAGCGAGGGAGACAACGGTGTGTGAGGGAGACGATGGTGTGCGTCGTGCGAGAGGGAGAAGGAGACGGGAGGGAGATGAGTAGTCAAAAGGTTTTAGGATTTTTTAAGTTTTTTTTTTTTTTTTGATTTAGGTTACCTTCTATTCAGGTTACAGGTTACAATTTTAAGAAATGAGGACTTATTTAACAGGTTTTGTAAAGTCCAATGACTTATTTAACGGGATTTAGAATGTTCAAGGATTTATTTGTTCCAAAAAATTGTTCAAGGACTTAATCGTTCCAAACAGTAAAGTCCATTGGGTTTTTTTTGGACTTTTCCCTTAAAAGTATCTTATAAAACTTATAAAGAAGCTCAAAACGTTCCTATAAACTTATTACATATGGCTTTCATATACTACTCTTTATTTTCTGGTCCTATAGAACAATTTAACATGACGCTTTGAAATTGATGACATACTGTAAACTCAACTTTGTTGTAATGTTAGATAAGTTTTACTAAAAAAATTTATTTTGGTCCTCAAGTTTCAAGATATTTTAGAACACTCGTTTAGCGTCGAACCCAAGACCTCTTGGAAGGTCGGCACATTTACCTAATTATATCATCCATTCCACCAGATCCCATTTGTTGGTATAGTTTTGGTTTCTAAATTTAAGAACAGATTTATAATTAAGCAGCTGCAACATTTCATTTTTGGAACATTGATGTCAATATGGAGATAGCATGCATAAGCTTAATAAAAAAATAATGTTTTAAGTGGCATACATTTAAAGAAACTCATCAACCATTAAAATTTTTAAATTGGAAATGAATTATGATGACGTAAACATTTATATTTTTCTGTATCTTTCATTTATGAAAACGAAAGAACCCATATCCAAACATGCCAGAAACACTACTATTATAAGCCTTTGTTTGGAAATCTCAATATCGAGTAACTATTTACTATGACTATTGATGTTAGATTGTGAGAAGAAATCAGATATAGAAGCATAGTCTCAGTGTGTACAAAGAATATATGATACTGCTAAAATGGGCTGATTTTCGCAGCCAGTTTTAGCATGAATTCAGGAACAAGTCGACGTCTTGGAGGTGCATTCACTTGTTTCCTACGAGCTTCTTCATCTCCCGCATGAACAATTGCAACCAAATCATCAAACAGTTTATCATCGCCTCTCATCGGATCCTAAATTGTAACAAACAAAATGGAAATTCATTAAATACTTAAAAGTACGCTAAAAATGCTATCAAATGCATTCAGAAAATTACCTGAACAAACACATCGGTGTGAGTTTTCCCCTTGTATAACATCAAGTCTGCTTTCACTCCGAGTCTTTGGAGAGTGTCCACAAATGTTTTACTGTAAACAACATGTCCTTTATCTTTAGGACCAGTTTCAAGCAATCCCACACATGCCTACTTCTGCATATCTATTCTATATATGCAATGATAAATTCATTATATGGGTAGGTATTCTTATTAAAGTTAGGTCTTCAAGTTCTAGGGGTCACTTCTCCAATACAAGAAAGATTATGGTCTCTACATGGCCAAAAAATGACTCATTTCAGATACAATCATACCTGCTATCTGCTGGGATGGAATAATCTGCTGTTCCATGAAACAGGATCACTGGAGGTAGGAGAGAAACTGCATTCTTGTTTTTGGGGTCTTGCACAACAATTTCTGGAGAATATCGACTCAAAGATTCCTCCCCTCCCATTATGCTGTAGAGATTATGCAAAAATAGTCAGTTTTGTGCTATTGAAAGTAGATAGAAAGAGAACAGAATGCAGATACATGCAAGAGTACCTGAGAAAAATTGACTTATATGGGCCTCGCGTATTCAAATGATCAGCGAGGTTAAACAAATTATATCTGTAGAAAGATTATAAACAAGAACACTAGGGTTCATCAGATAGCTTTTTTGGAGATAGAAAAAGGAAAACCAGTAAAAACGATGAATAACAACAATATATCAGAATATGAAACACATTATGATCACATAAAATCAGTTATTTTGTATTGGAGAAATTTAATATGAGGTCAGCTTGCTCACAATTGCTTTAAAAACTAGGTCATTTTGATATAGTACATTTTCATTCACTTCTAATGCCCACAGCTACATTTTCTCTACTTCAGTCCCCCACTCTTCATTGCATTCACTTCCTTTTTCAAACTTAACAATTACTAGTGCCCACAACCAACAGATTATATATATGCTTCCCTTCATACCAAAATAAATGTGGTTTCACTCCAAACATAAAGAAGTATATTATCACTATTAAAGAAGTATATGACTATCCACATGGGTTTAATCTATTTTCATCACTAGACAGCTTATTGATTATGTCTTGATAGGCTTGGTATGAACCAATACTGGTTCTTATATAAAAGATAACAGAAGAACCACAAGTAAGTCTCATCTGTTTTAGCCAAATAGATTTCCCATGTTAATATACCATAGATTACAAGCTTTTTAGGAGGATTTTGGCCTCCAAGGATCTTATCCTCGGCCTTGCCTACCCAGCTGGTTTTAGCCCTCTTTTCTAGCATATGTCCTTACTAGTTACTATTGTTGCTGTTTATTGTCTTTGTTGCATGCTTGCACACACTCTTTTTCTAGTTTTTCCTATGGCATCCACTGCTCTCCAGCGTCTTTTCATATACCTCGCAACTTTCAGAAAGAAATTGACAAGTTCTCAGTTCCTCTTGTCTCTCCAAAAACGTTTTCACGAGTCAGGGTCTTCAGAAGCGGTAGAGGAAATGTCTGCATACATCCTACTGCCCCTAGACCCTACTTCTGATTGGATATAACCGCTATGTAGAATTGAACGACTCCAATCAACTTGCATAGAAGCAACGAGCAAAAATGTATCATTTGAAAATCTAACAAGATTAACAATTTCCTAATCAGCCACTGACAAGATTAACTGACGGGTGTCAAGTGATTTGGAGTAAATACCTACCCTCCTGATAAGCCAAAATAAGCTTTTATCTGGGAGACGCTCCACGTAGTACTCTGTGTTACATCAGACTCTTTGATTGCCTGATCCACGAGAGCACAAGCAGCAATGTGCGCACCGGCTGACTGTCCCATCAGGTAAATCCTTCAAGATCACCACGAACCGATATCAAGACCCAAAAGGGAAACTTTATCACACTAAAAAGTTAAGTATAAAAACATATACCAATTATACCTGTTAGGATCACCACCATATTCCGAGATATTATTGCACACAAATGAGATGCCTCGGGAAGCATCCTCAACCATGTCACTTATTGTAGCCTTGGGAAAATTTCTGGATGTTTCCAACCATCAGGTTAGTATGTTGTCATCTAATTCACAAGTGCACTATGTAGTGCAACTGTCTAGCTTTTTGATGGAATGTGCTAAAACTGAGAACAATAATACGAATCTACATATGCATCGGTTTCATCATGTATGATCCAATCATCAAAGATATCAATAAAATCTTGGCGACCATAATAGTTAATACAGAGTAAAAGACCCACTCCTTGCCTGGCAAAAGATTGAAGGATCAAGTGTCGCCCCTTTCACCATCCCAAAATTAAATAAATTTAAAAAGGTGCAAACAAAGTAAATCCTGAGCAGTGATTGGGCTTATTTTGAAACTCATATTGGCACAAATGCTGCAATGTTTCCATTACAGAACTCCACTTGAAACACAAGTACACAATAATAATAAAGACAAGGTTTACTATAGATTAAACATGATGATGATCACATTTAGATCTCAAATTTACCTGTAGTCTATGCATGCCACTATGACGTCTGTGCCTGATAAGTGGAGTCCTAATAGAGAACCCCATGCTTTATACCTGCAGTAACGGAAGCAATGCTCAAAACTTGTAAATTGTAATGATGGGAAGTAAAGTATACTAGTATCAAACGTTCAAGTATTTAAAAGTTATAAAGATTTAAAGTTCTTCCAACTGCACCCCTGCTATCATTCCCTTCGGATGGGTGCCCATCATCAATATTTGAGAGCAGTTGATCATATTCTTACAGCCAGAAATCAGGACTGAAAAACTTAATTTCTCCACATCTTTTAGGGGTTAAGGAGTGGACAAAAACAATTTCATTACTCACCCTATTACCCAGGCTCCTCCAGTGATGAAAGCAATGACAGGCTTTGGATCATCATTTTTCCCATCATTTTTAGGTAAATATATATCAAGTCTGCACAACAACAATGCCATCAGATATTTAGTCCCATGAAAGTTTGCTACAACCAACAGAGCAAGTTGTATGTTAATAAAACGTACTTATTCCTTGGCTGATCACCAAAAACAATATCCCGGCGTACCTGACTTGAGAAATAATAGTAATAAGCAACTGCAATTAAGCAGTCATATGTCATTAACTAAGCATAGTGGCATCCGGAATCCAAGTTAAATGATAAAGAAATCATGTAGTTTGTTATTAACATGGGATGAATGACCTGAGCCACGAACCACCGACTTTACGAACCTTGAAGTACACCTGGCATAATTAGGATTCCGTAACATTGTAGAGCAAGAAATCCGGTTATCACTCTATAGCCTGACCTGAAGAAAGAAAAAGATCAAGAACGAATGTGATATTAACATACCTTCAAAGCACATTAAACACTAAGAAAATATTGATGAAAAAGAACACAATAATAAGAAGAAGAAAAAACAGATTGAGTTGAAGGGGTATGATTGTTAGATCTTTGATGCTAGAAGCTTATAGATCAACCATTCGATGCATAAATGTACCTAAATCTTTATGATTTTGGTCTAAATATGAAGCAAAGACATTGCACCAAGGAAGAAACTAAGATTAACCAGTCAATGCATAAGTTCTTCTTTCCAATGCCTCAAATTGCACTACTAAAACTATATTACATGAAAGCTTTACTAACAGAAAGAAGGCCCATGATATCATGGACATGGACTAATCTAAGTTGACTAATAACATCTCAGGCACTTGAAACAGCTAAGCAACCATTCACATATATACATATACAACAGGAAACAATATATTATAATTCGTCTTTCACGATTATATTATATAGTATTATCAATGAGAAGAGTGGTTTAAGCTGCATGAATGAATGATCGATGACACAAAATTACGTGAAAGCTTGAAAATTAAATTTTACCCAATGTATCCCAACACTTTAGACCCAAACCGGGTGATAGAAAAAGTATCGCCATCGGTCCGTCCCGCATTGTGACATAAAAACCGTCGTCTGCCACCACGAAGATCCGATAGATTCGATTCGCTAGCGGTACGAGTACCACGTCGTTTCTGGAAAGAAACGGAACCCGTAGAAGTTGATGGTAGACGAGTACTGCTAATACTATCGTGACTTGAAACCCTAGGTAAAAGGGGTTTAGTCTCAACCTTTTTCCCATCTTCAATCGATGAATGAGCTAGATCATCACCATCATAATTGTCGGAATTGATGAATACTGCTCCAGCTTGTGCAGCAGCAGAGATTGGAATGATTGAAGACGATGATGCTCGATTTGAGAGAAAGGGGTTGGAGATCGAGATCGGGAGGATATGCGACTGCATCTTGGATAGATATACACGTGTGGGTTTAGTGAAAGATTTGTGCATGGGTGTGTGATTGAGGAAGATGGATAAGAGCGAAAATGGTGGTACAGAGAGTCGATGAAAATTTGAAATTTGCAGAGACAGGGACGAAGATTTTTCTTCGGGTGATCGAGTATGCCACGTGTCCAAGTGTGATTGGACAAAGAAGTTTGGTCCCACTTAGAAGATGGGTGCAACATGGCGTGTTGGGATGGGTTACTTCTCACTAATCACATTTTTCTTCTTTTTTTTGCTTTCGATTTTTCACCTTTTTTTTATTTTGAAGCTACAACACGGGATACTAGGGGTGAGCAACGGAACCGGATATTCATTTGTAGAATCGTAACTGCTTTGGAATTGTCGGTTTTGGAACCGATATGAGTGGTTCCGGTTTTTAAAATACGGAACCGATTGAGAATGATTCCGGTTTTCAATTTTTCTAAACCCTTACTCGCCGGGACCGGTTTCGGGATCGGGTACTCAGAACCGACGAGTACCCTGAACTGGAACCGGCGGGTACAACGGTATTTTTCAATTAAAAAACATTATTAATTTTTTATATATAATTTGTGCAGTTTTTATGTAATTTGTATAGTTTTATGTTAAAAATATATGCAGTTTTTTATACAAAATTTGTGTAGTTCTTTTATAGAAAATTTGTGTAGTTTTTTTGTTAAAAATATGTGCATTTTTTATGAGTTTGTGTAGTTTTTTTAACACTCAATTATTCGCAGGTACCGTACGAGGTTGAGAATGCGATAGCTATGCAAGAAGTTGAAATCAGATTCAGAATTTGAGATAAAATGATTCGTATTTTTTCAAATTGTGTGTTTATTAGGATTCATAATATGTAATCGTTAAACTTTGAACATTTACAATCATAGTATCTAATCGTTAAACTTTCAACATTTACTGTTAGTTTATTATGGTTTGCAATCGTTAAACAATATTTGTAACCATTATTCCATATAATTTGTATTATTGTTTATTTATTTAGTGTTTTTTGGTAATGTTTTATTTTTTATTTCTAAATAACAAAATTTTAATATTTTAGGAAGTGGGTATCTGGAACCGGTTCCAGCGGTTCTGGTTCCGGTTCCAAAAATTCAAGAACCGCTCTAACCGGTTCCGGTTCCAATATCTCAAAAACCGCCGGTTCCTGTTTCTATCAAATATGGCGGGTACTTGTCTATGCTCACCCTTAATGGAGACAAAAATTTTATCCTTTAATAGGTAAGAGATGAGTACGAGGGTTTATTTTGATATCTAAAGTGGAATTAGTGTCGTGGTCATGTATAATACTGTCAATCACTAAGCATGTTAAATGCTTAAAATTTTATGTGATTATTAAAATCCATAAAATATCAAATCGATTAAATAATATATTATATTTAATTATCATTATTATTTTATACATATCATATATACATATGTGTGTGTGGGGAGTATATTTTACACATGGTATATAATTTTTTTATTCATATTATTATCATATATCAATTTTATTATCTTCATTTATATTACATATATATATATATATAATATTACATATATGCATTAATATTAAAGTCTCATTGTATTTTTTTTAACTTAAAATAGTGTAATCCAAAAGTTAATTTTTATGATTAATTATTTATTTTAATGAATGGGATATTTATAGAAAATGTAGTAACGATCTATTTTAGTTTTAAAATACATTATTTTTTTAGTTGTTTTCTACTAAAAGGGTTTCCCGAACACAAGGGGAGGGAGGGATTGATAGTGTGGGAACAACAACGGGAGAGATTGGTCTAATCACATTAGTTTGGTTTTTATAAAGTCGCCGATGTATATGTTTTCCATCTTCTTGTCTCGGTTTTAATCTTCAATTAAAAAAACTATGACACATCCAACGCGATGTATGAACGAAATCACATCAATATCTTTTTTCACAATTCAATAAAAAAATTTGTTCAATTTTTTTTTTATTATCGAAATCAACGGGATTATGAAATTTATAATTTAATAAAAAAATATTTCAGTAAGTTATTTCGACGACTAGTTATCCAAATAAAATTAAAAACAATGTTGTTATTATGTTGATTTTATTTCATTGTAATCTAGTTGATAGTCTTCTATTTATTTGAAAAAATAACTTGAATTTCTTCATAACAAAAAAGTTTCATCTATGAAAATCAATGTTAAAAAAAAAAACTCGTCGCAACAGCCGTCATGGCATGCCGTGACTTAAAACTTGTGTCTTACGTCACGTTAAGCATGTGGCAAGCCATGACCTAATACGCAATTTTTGTAACGCAATATCTGATTATTATTTTTTTAATGTCTTACTTGTTAGTTTTTAATGTATAACCTAATTTACATTATTTAATATCATCGATTAATTGAGTAATAGTGGAAAATATATGTTTATATGTATGATAATTTCTAGAAGTGCAAGAGCCTCATGTTCCTTGACTAGCGGGACCCCATCCACGTTAAATGTACGAGTAGTTAAGAAGTTCCTATTTTCACCTTAAAACACCACACCTAATCTTACACACGGCATATACTCTAAAATACCTTTTAGGAAATCGTTTTTTAAACATGTTGACTACGACCACTTTCATTGATATATTGGTTACGTTATAAATAGTTAAACTGAAATTTAAATTGTTATAAAAAATGGCCTAACAAGATTTATGGAGGCACCTAATTATATGTAATATTTAGTTCATAAAAAATCAAAACATTTTGTCTTCGAACACTACTAGTATGGGAACCGTGCGTTGCACGGTAGCATGAGTACTTTGATTAATAATTTGAAGATTGTCTATATAAATATGTATTAGTTGTTAATAGAATTATTAACAAATAGTATTTAAATAATTCTAAAAAGTTAAATAAAATATAATTAGTGAAATTTTAATATATATATATATATATATATATTGAGAGAGAGATTTGTTTAGGAATAAAGTTGTAAAACTAAATAAAATAAGTAATAATAACACGGAAATATCAAGGAATTTGATACACTCAAGAATAAAAAAWATTTCACATAAAGATATGTCTCCTTCAAATATTTCAACTTACATTGATGTAAGAAAATAAATTGAAAGAAGCAAAAAAGAACCATATTTAAAAACTTAAAATATACGATGAGTCAATCCTAAGGCATTGCATGAATCTAACTTCAACTTTTCATTTTCTTGCTTTGTTGTAAAAATGAATTTGTAAGGCTATTTGGATTGACAATAAATTGAGCCATGAACACTTAGACAACCAAAAGATAACTTATAAAAGTTCTGGCATAAGAAAAAGAACTATCAAGAATATTATAAAAAATCAACCTATAATATATTGTTTTAACACATATAAAGCAAGTAAATTAAAGAAACCCCAAAAGATATTTATATTATACATAACTAATCTCATAAAGCAAAACGATTACTTAGTGGAGAGAGAAACGTAAACGTCTTGTATGTCTAGAATTATGAACATCGACAGTTGCAATCATGTTGCACTTTAAGAAATGAGTGAATACCTTTAAAATTCTTCAATTAATTTATCATATAGTTGCATTATTAAAAATAAATTAT